CAAAATCTTTCTGAAAATTAAATATAAAACAATTTCTCATCTTTGTCGTCATGTTTATTACAACGTTTCGACCGTTGTACGCTCCGGCCTTCTTCAAGTGGTTGGAATGTCGAACTGAATCCTTTATTTCGCTCAATGGGGTAGACTGTTCTAGTTCCACGTGCCATGTCTTTAATGGATGTCAGTTATCAGTTATCTCCTGTTAATTCCCGTCTCCAAGTTCTCCACTGGCTTAACCAGGTATTGAACTCACAATTCTTAAAATTGTGTACACACGCAATTAACTTTGTTCATACATGCATTAATTGTCATTTGTTTTAAATTTATTGGGTTTTTTCCCTTATTTTACCCGGACTCACATGAGTGCACCAAATATTGTTTGCGGGTCAAATGTACCAGTAGCATTAACAAAAACGTCCGCACCTCGTATCAAAAGTGATGAAATTTCCCACAGTGGGATGGCAGCATTTACCGACAGAAAATCAACGACATTTTTTCCGGAAATATGGAACGGAAATTTAAAAGAAAATTGAAATTTAATATATTTTTTTTTACATGCAGAAACTTTATTTAAAGTTCAAAAATGGCCTTTTTTTTCAGTTTTTCAATTTACAAGTTTTCACGGTAGTAAAACAATGCAATGTTTTATTTTTTTGTTTAGATAGTTGAAGTTTTATTAAGCAAAATAGACTAAGAATTAAAAGTCTGATAACATTTATTTCAGTTTTTAAAAGTGAAATTAATTTTATCGGACTTTTAATTCTTAGTCTACTGAATGCACTTGTCATAACCAGTGGCCGACATACATTTTGGGGTTCTTGAAGCTCCAACAGATATGGCAGCCCTTTTGCAACCAGCAACAATAGAGTTGAGGATCCAACTACCAAAATGTAGCCTATGAATAGATTCTGGTAAGATCAACGAGCTCATCCAGCAGAAGGTTCGGGCACTACAAGCTCCCAAGAAAATTTTGAAATTTGACAAATTATAGGGGAATTTTGAGGCCATATGAAATTGGTATTGTAACATATTTTAAGGCTAACATTAACTTCTTCAACCCATTGGTTTATGATTCTATCACTAAAATGGTCATATTTTAATAAAAAAAAACTAAGAAAAGCAAAAATAAAAAATCATTGATTTTGTTGAAAAACTCACTCATCAAAAAGTTGCTTCAGTGAGTTTAAGAGCCCTTAAGCTTCAGCTTGATTAGTTTCAGAGAAGATACGCCATTGGTCTCACCTTTTTTGATCATGTCACGAGAAGGGTTTGGGTTAGTACTCGGCAACTCCCACCCTCAAATAGTGAACCATTCCCGTATTTAAAACAGTAGTGGAAAATAATGAGTATGTTTATATATATTCAATTTATTTGTCCAGGTCGTCACATTTTTGCTCGTGAGTTTGATCTTGTGCCAGACTAATCAAATAATTCTTTCCAGGATTTAGTTTGTTGCGAGAATACTTGTTGTATTTATGTTGAAAGCACGTGTCTCCTGGTATATGAGTCCGAGTAATAAATGAATAACACAAAACAGTATATAAAACAAACAACAATGTATGTATTGAGAAAAGTATGCAATGACAATAAAAGAAGAAAACATTTAAAGACTAATTACATAGAAAATATTTAAATTAGAAAGTTTGTGATTGTGGAATGTGCGTAAGAGAAGTCCGATAGAAAAGTATTACATTAAAAGTGAACATTCCCCAGTAAGCAACACTTTTTTTTTCACGTGCGACTACAACTTAAATCCGGAGTTATGAAAGAGGAGAGATAATGACTAAGAATATAATTCCCTATTTATAGGCTTAAGGAGCGACACCTAGCGACAGTTTTTATTAGTAAAATCAAGTGATGGAACCCACAACATCATATCTGCCCAATTCTAACGAAGAGATCATTAGTCAGTAAATGCAGAGAGCAAAAGAAGAAAAATATGAGAAGAAAATGAATGTGATTCTGTAATAAAAAACAAACTTACCTTCAGAACAAGTTTTTCCAAAGAAACCTTGTTTGCATTTACAGAAAAATCCCCTGTCTCTGTTGATGCACTCGGCTCCATTTTTGCATGGTTTCAGCGCACAATGGTTTGCTGTTAAAAATAAAATAAATAAAGCCACATGTATAAAATTTAACATAAATATTCCTGCAAATATATTCAATTACTTTTAGAGTAGATGGGGCTCCTTAACGTGGGAGGGCAGTCCATCATCAAAGAGAAGGAAAACTAATTTAAAACTTGCGACGGAGAATAGATATGGATCTCCTTAGTTGTAGTGAAGGGAGAATATCTAGGAAAAGGAAAATCTCCGAAATCCAAACCATATTGAGAGGGTATAAATTCTAGGTTGGTATCTGGCCAGAATAAATACAGTTGACATTTTTTTTTCTTTTCCATTTGTTAATAAATAATAAAAAGAGAGAAATGTCACATGAAAAACTCACTCACTTTTGTATAAATTTGATTTTTAATCCCGTTTTTAAGTTTTTGTCATACCCACATTATAATTTTCTTAGTTTAATATTAATTTTATTAATGCTTGAGGTTTATATTTATTTATTTATTTATTTATTTATTCATTTATTTTAATACCAATGAAAAAAACAAAACGAAACAAAACAAAACAAAACAAAAAAATGCTATTTACAGTCAAAGGGAGATAACCGCAAAGTCAAGAGTTATCTCTCTTTATTGACCTCTTCCATTCTTCTGTCTCTTTTTTTGTGTTGCGACAGTTTTTGATACAAAGAAGTTTGGGGTTAACAGTAACAATGACACAAATTTGTTTTATTTTATTTTATTTTGAAAATTATAATAAAAAACAAGGAATATAGCCTGAAAAGCTCAATTATTTGTGCATGAATTTTATTTTCGATCCCGCTTTTAAGTTACTTTTTTTTGCAATTTCCAACTTAAAATTTTTTTTCTTTATTTAATTTTAGCTTTTAAACATTTAATTAATTCTATAAGTAACTTTTCCTTCTTTCTTTCTTTCTTTCTTTCTTTCTTTCTTTCTTTCTTTCTTTCTTGTTTGCTTGATTTATTTTTCTCTTGAGAAGAGACATATAAAGACACATGCACAGTATAATAAACATATCAAATGAAAGAATCATTTACCACAGTTTTCTTCAGTCTTGATAATGGCCAATTGCATGTTTATAAAATGTTGCCTAGGGAACAGAATGGTGGGGCCAGCTGACGGGCGAAATGTCAGCTACTGGGAAAGAGATCGTGTGATTCAAAAAACTACTGAGAGAATCCTAGTTCAGTGATAGCACGTGATATCTGCCAACAATGATGTAACTGTTCCTCTGACCAAAGAGTTTCCCACAAATGAGAACATTTTTAAAAGGATAAAGCAATGTAGCAAAGTGCTCAGAACAACAAAAGAGGAATAGTTAAACAAACATTTGAAGAATGTCAAAAGAGTTGCTAAACATAATAACATCTATCAGATTGCAATCGTATCTGGTATTGCACAGACAAGCTCTGGACCAGTTAAGTGAAATCATGGCATGCTATTATTATCAAAGGGTTTTGTTTTTTTTATGGATTATCAATCGTTTGAGGGTTACTTAAAGCCAGAAAAATATTTTAGATTGTAAGAAAACAACGAAACCAAACTTAATATTTTCGCTGAGTTTTTACTAAATTTTATTTTTTAAAAATACAGCCGTGTGAATGAGAATATATTTTTCTATAAACTTGGAGTATTCCTGTCCTAATCCAAGTTTATCAACGAAAATCAAAAACAAATCACCTTCAATATGTAGGAAAAAAAAAAACAAAAAACAGTCGATTATTTAAATACATTAATTTTTCCACTTCTTTTATATGATGCGTCCCTTCAGAACCTAGTCGATCATGACTCTCCACAGCTTCGTCACCCTAAGCAATATTTGTGTCGTTACCATCTATCCTTGTTCCAGACCTGCCATCTATTTACAAAAAGCTCGTTAGGTAGGTTACTCGATGTTTCCCTCTGCCTTTTCTGCCTTCACAATGTCTTGCGAGTGTTAAATTCTTCAAGCCGTCTTTCCTCATTTTATGTCGCAGAAATTGCAACTGTCTCTGATTTTTAAGTATAATTGTCCATTAGCTACCATTTTTTGAAAACTTCCTCATTATTCACATGCTCATTCCATGCAGTTACAGCATCTGTTGTATAAAATCATATCTCTGTAACTTCGTGTTTATTTTTCATCTGTAATTGGATGTGCGGCCGGTGTAAAAGATAGTGGTTCAAACTGAGAAATCAAAGAGCTGAATTCAGGTTCCAGTTGGGTTTGTTTCATTAAATTTAAGCGCAAATACCCTTGAGAAATGTGTGAATCCATCTCACCTCACTCATGGGTGAAAATCATCGTTATTCTTAATTAAAAAATATTGCTAATACGATATTTACTCGCAAAAAGAGATTTATTCTTACAATATATGTTTCGGCTTTAAATAACTCACAAAGGGTTGATAAGACATAAAAAACAAATCGATCTGAAAGGAAATTGGATGGAATTGGACAATAGGTATTTTAACCAGAAATAATCATTATTTTAATTTTTTTAAATATTACTCTAGATTAAGCACTCCAGACCACGAAAAAAAATGGGAAGGAATTGATCCTTCTACGAAAAGCAAAGTAAAATATGTTCATACCATGTGATTTTTCAAAAGTTGAAATTTGTAAATCTGAAGTACTTTTTCTCATATCGATGAAACATTACGAATTTCAAAATATTTCCATTTTGTTTTAATTTAAGAATCATTGATTCGTTTTCTCTGGCTATTCAACCATTTTCAGTTTGATTAAAGTCAGAAATTTTTTTTACATTGTAAAACTTTCGTTTCTTTGGTGATAAGGGTTTAGTAATACAAGTCTTACTAATTAACTCATAACTCAGGGTAAAGAAGAGGTGAATTCATACCTTTCCCAAGGGTATTTGTGCGTAAGGAAACCCAACGGGAATTGGAACACGGCTCTCCTATTAATTCCGCATACCTACAGCATCTGGTATTCCCAAGCGGTCACCCATCTAGGTACTGACCAGGTTCGACGTTGCTTAACTTCATTGACGGTGCAGGAACCGGTGTTTCAACATGATATGGCCGTAAGCCAATTTGAAGAAATCACGTCGTATGAGCATCTTTTGTTTTGGCTTCCATAGGGAGATCGGTTTACAACGAATTTAGATAGCAAACTGGACCACCTATTAACTTTCATAGAATTTAATTAAAAACATTATACGTTTTAATATTCGTGTTCAGGAGTGATAATCTGTTGTAATAGGGAAAAATGATTACTTCTTGTCGCAATGCTTAATGTTCAACTCTTACAGGCAATTGTTTAAGTTTAATTCCCATATTGGGATATAGATATGGCATATTAATTCACTAATCTTCCTGCATTTCTAATGAAATTTTCTTATTTCTTTGTTTACTTTCCGGAAGGAATTTTTTGTCTATCCTTATGCGTCTTCGGATTTCGGTGTCACATTTTCCGTTGTCAGTTATCCCACTATTCTGAGAGCTGAATTTCTTTATCTGCATGATTTTGACGTCCCTAATATGTAGCTCAAACATTGGTCTGACTCTTTTGCTGACAACCATGCATGAAGGACAAAAGAGTTTTCAGTCAAATCAATGGTTTCTTAATTAATGTATGTAGAAGACGATCACTAATCCAGATGTGTAATTTCCTTTGACACTGTTATGATGTTGATTTGGAGTTAGTAGAGACAAACGCCAAATAACACGTAACAATAAAAAAGGTTTTAATAGGTTGGTAAAAAGGTACAGAAAACGCCTGAGTAGTCAATAACTAGCTCAGCTAAAAACTTCTCTGTCTATCTGGCTCCCCCCCATGTCAACTGACATGCCACTATTTAAAGTCTTTGCTCACAGACGCAGACAAGTTCATCTTCAAGAGGGGTGGTAGGTTTCCGACACAACAGACACTATACTAGCCATGTTATGTTACGATTGCGATTGATGAGTTCATCAATCTTTTCTAAACAAAAACAAACGAGCTATGCTTCTTTTCACGCTTTATTTGTATCGTTTATAACTATCTAACTCATACTTATATTTCTATTAACTAAGGGAATTGAATGATGTGCTGTGAAGTGAAATCATACCTACAACAGTGAAGAGGTGGTTCTATGCTCCTCGAAAATCTCCAGAAGCATTTGAGAGCGTAGTGATAGGTCTTATAAGACAGGTAAATATTTAACTTCTATCAATATAATAAACAACCCCCCTCCAAAAAATACATGCAGATGTTCTCATAAAATACTTGAGTAGATTTTAGAGCTTCAATATAATGCTACTTGAAAAGATAAATAATGAAAGTTACAGATCACTCGCCATGTTAACATTAACATTACCAGATTGTAATAAGCCGATTTCACCAGATAACTTGGAAGTATTTAATGTGTAACACTCAAAAATGCGAGGCCCATAGCATCTGTTTGTTTTGCTACTAAGTTAATCCGGCCCTGCGGATTCATGCAGGAAGTTCAATTGGCCAAAAATATTGTGATAAAAACAACTAAGATGAGGATGCAAATATAGCAGAACCCTTGTTCAACAATAAAAAATATTAAAAGGTTTTATTCTTGTAAAGGTTAATTTCTACTCCAACAAGTATGGAATATAAAATCTACTCACGAATTTCGCAACGCCTTCCTTCAAATCCTTCCTTACATACACAATGGTAGGTATTCCTTTTATTTGTACACCTTGCACCATTCAAACAAGGTTTCTTTTCGCAATAGTCAACTGTAAAGAATAGATTGAATTAGTGTGTAAACAACTTAAAAAATAGTACATATGTGATGATATATTGGTTTAATTATTACATATGACATCTTTTTATTTTAAAAGACTTAGAGTTTGTCTATATTTCTGAGATGAGGTATTATGTACAGTATTTACATTAGTCGGACTATTGTCCTCATCTTTGTCGCCATATTTGTCACAACGTTTCGGCCGTTGTACGCTCCGGCCTTCTTCAGGTGGTTGGAATTTCGAACTGAACCCTTTATTTCGATCGCTGGGGTAGACTGTTCTAATTCCACGTGCCATGTTTGATGGATGTCAGTTATCAGTTATCTCCTGCTAATTTTCCCTCTGAAAGTTCTCCACTGCCTTAACCAGGAATTGAACTCACCTTCTTTGGGTCTGTCACTGGATCTAACCAACGCCTTTATCCACTGTGCCATGTGTCCTTGAGGCCGAAACGTTGTGACAAATATGGCGACAAAGATGAGGACAATAGTCCGACTAATGTAAATACTGTAAAAGACTTAGATATTTATATGGGAGGCTATCGTAGACTAGATAAATATAGCACTATTTTGCTTTCATGTTTATAAAGTTTAATTTTAAAAAAATCATTCATCGAAACAAGGCAATAAAACCACTAAGACGCAAGGGGTTTACAGAGTGTTAGAGAATACGAGAAAAAAACAGCATTAAGAAGAGAGAACAATAAAAGAACAGGAATTTAGAAGACAGAAGATAACGATTGACATTGCATTTAAAGTTTTGAAGATCAAAGTTGTCTGGAAAGCAATAAACTGGAAAAGAGTTCCACAAGTGAGAAGTGCTAGAGAAGAAATTATTATATCTAGTAATTTCAACTGTAAAATGATAAGACCTCGATGCCAATCTAGTACAGCGAATAAATTTGTAAAGTCGAGGTAATAAAGAGGAAAGCTTATCACAACAGTTTCTATGAAAATATTCATAGAAAAGGCACTGAGAAACTACGTTAACGTGGTGAGAAAGTGACTGAGGCCGCGATGCCCGGTCAGGACCAATAACATGACAGATTCTTCTTCGGATTTTGTCAAGAACCTCTAGATGCATAGCAAAAACACCAGACCAGAAGTGACAGCAATATTCAATATGAACTTTCTCCTAAATATATTAGGTATTGTTTTGTTTCAGTTGTTAGTGACATATTTGGCTTCAAGAGCACTGATTTTAAAAACGTCTCCCTTAATAGATCAAATAGAGACGTGAAAAATGAGTTAAAAGAGATAATTTCTATACTGATATTAGTGTTTTTTCTACAAATATTTTCATGGCAATTGCTCTGACGAGATTTTTTTTTTTTTACCTGGTGCCTCGACTATATGAATTTAAGCGTGCTACTAGATTGGCATTTCGAACCCAAACTTTTACTATTGAAATAGTTAAATGTAACCGCCATTTCTATCCTAACAGTTTATTTTATCGGACTTCCTACCTGTGGAACTCCTTTCCGTTTACCTGTTTCAAAATCTTCAAAAATTTAAATGCAACATCAATCGCCATCTTCTGTTGTTTTGAACTCTGTTCTTATTTTATCCTTTCCTCAAACCCACCTTTACCTAGTTTTATCAATCACTTTCTCTCTCTGTAACCCCTTGCGTACTAGTGGCATTCCCGACTTGCTTGTGGTGAAATGATTAAAAAAAAGAAGAAGAAAAAAGTCATGTAACAAGAACACGTAGAATACGAGTTATCTCCCCTTGTATTGGTAACAAACTGTGAACACTCTATCCATGTGGTTACGTTTGAAATACGATAGACACCTGAAAACAGTTGGAAGATACAAGAGCAGAAACGTTGGAAGGGCAGCAACCAAGGTAAGGAGACTATATCCCACCCCTACAAAATTTCATAGCACATGTAAGTAGAAGAAAAAAAATGAAATAATCAAGCGGTTAACATTCCACAATACCAAAAGCAAACGACTGGAAGAAGATTTTCATCAAATTTAAAAAGAGCTATTCAATTTCAGTGGGTTTGGGAAGTTTAATTTTATTTTATAAATATCAACCATCAGCAACACTAGCTTTTCAGTCAATGAATGCCTAATGTTACCTGGATGGAAACGGATAATTTTAACATTAACATTTCATAATTCAATTTATAATCTTCATTATAATTACTATTCATATTGTGTATTACTTGATTTGTCCCCAAATAGAGTTTCTGATATGTTCATAAATTATCAAAATTGATCTAATTTCTATTGTGGCTTTTCGCCAAAAGCAAGATATTAAAGAAGGCTTTGTATACTTATATTAAGTTGAAACAAATAGAGAATAGACCGGAACCAGAAATTCAATCAAACACATCGAATATTATTATATTATCGGAATTTTCACAGCGTCCTCTATGCCTCAAAGCTCGCTTCCCACCTTTCTGGAGCATGGCGGGAATGCTTCTTTCTTCAATGGTTTGGTTTGGTATTGAGAATTCCACCCCCCCATTATATAGGGGTCTATTCTCATATATGAAACAGTTGTGAAAAACTCTACAAAACCCCCTCAATGCATGTGAGCTTGATGATATCCCTGCAATAGTTCTTAAGTAAGGTGTTCCCGAACTGTCTTCTGTTCTCTCCAAACTGTACAAAAAGCGTCATGATCGTTCTTGCTTGTTGTAAATCCTCTTCTGTAGTTCCTGTCTTTAAGAACTCAGGCGAACCATCTGATCCTTTTAACTATCGGCCTATTAACCTCCTACCTGTTTTGGGCAAAGAACTAGATGCTCTAATCAACTTTGAATTATTAAAGCATGTCATCTCGTGGGGTTTTCTTTCAGATAAGCAATATGGCTTTCGTTTCTCGGGGTCAACCGCTGATTAACGATTATTGCTGAAGGAGCCTATCAAGATATTTGACAGGATTTGGCATATTGGTCTTCTTCACAAGTTGAAAGGTTATGGTATTTCTGGACAAATTTTTGAACCGATTTAATCTTTCTTATTGAATCGCGAAATGAAAATTTTCTTGAACGGTCAGTCTTCTAGACCGTTTTACATTAATGCAAGCGTCCCACAAGTCTCTATCTTTGGATCTATGTTGTTTATTAATTTTCATCAATGAGCTTCCTGAGCGCAATAGTTCTCAACTCAGTATCTATACCAATGACACAATCCTTTATTCCTGTCTTAATAGTAAATATGAGCGGTTTGATAAGATCAAAATGGAAGCTGATAAAAAAAGACCGACATTCTGTTGTTAACTGGTGCGTTTTTAATTTTAACGCCTCACTTTTAATTATTTGAGAGAAACCGTTTTTCTTCCATCAGCATGGCTGGTGCTAATCTCCAGGAG